GTAGGTGGGGCTGGAAAGACCTGAGGCACCTCTGGATTTCTAAAGTTAGGACAGGTATCTTTTACCATTATCAAATTCCACCAATTCCACCTTGAGAATGTCTCTGGAATCCAAACACCCTGCCACACCTGAGGCCAGGTGACCATCCTCTTGCCTGGACAACTGCACTAGCTCCTCCCGGGTCTCCCTGGTGCCACTTCATCCCCTCCACTTCATTCTAGAAACAAACTGCCCTGTCCTGCAGTGATTGTTCTAAATCACAGACCAAATTGGGTCACATTTTTGCTTAAAACTCTCCAAGGTATGAATGGATAAAGAAGATGTGGTATATACATAGGATGGAATATTATTCAGTCTTAAAAAGGAAGGCCATCCTGCCATGTGATAAAACGTGGATGAAGCTAGAGGACATTCCTTTTTTTTTAAATTGTATTTATTATTTATTTATTTATCTATTTATTTATTTTAGAGAGAGCAGGGGGCAGGGGGAGGTTGGAGAGGGGAGCAGAGAGAGAGGGACAAGCAGATTCTGTGCTGGGCGCCAAGCCTAAGACCTGACATGGGGCTCTGGGGCTCGGCGCAGGGCTTGATCTCATGACCCTGAGATTATGACCTGAGCTGAAATCAAGAGTCAGACGCTGAACCAACTGAGCCACACAGGTGCCCCTAAGCTAGAGGACATTCTGCTAAGTGAAATAAGTCAGTGACAAAAGGACAAAGACTATATGCTTACATGAGGTATCTAAAGTAGTCACACTCACAGAAACAGAGTAGAATGGCGGTTGCCTGGGGTTCAGGGAAGGGCAAAGTGGGGGAGTTGTTGTTTGATGGATATAGAGTTTCTGATTTGCAAAATGAAACAGTTTGAGAGATCTTTTGCACAACAATATGAATATAGTTAATACCACTGAACTGTACAGTTAAAAATGGTTAAGGTGGGGGTGCCTGGCTGACTTGGTGGGTAGAACATGCAATTCTTGATCTCAAGGTTGTAAGTTTGAGCCCCATACTGGGTATAGAGATTACTTAAAAAAAGAAAATAAGATCTTTTAAAAAAATGGTTAAGATGGTAACTTTTTTTTAAGATTTTATTTTTAAGTAATTTCTACACCCAACGTGGGGCTCGAACTTCTGACCCCAAGATCAAGAGTTGCATGCTCTACTGAGCCAGCCAGGTGCCCCTAAGATGGTAAATTTTATGTTACATGTTTTTGTTTTTTGCCCCAATTTAAAAAAAATGAAAACAAGAACAAAAAAACACCTATAAGGCTCCCCATAGCCTTTAAGGCAAACGTGGACCCCTTCCCCTGTGAGGCCCTCTGCACTATCTCAGACCCTCCTTTGCAGTCACCTGCCCTCAGTCTCCTCCAGCGACCATATTCTCCAGCCCCGCCAAGCTCTTCAGCTTCCCCCAAACACAGCTCACACTTCCCTGGTGGTTTTCTCTGCCTGGAGCAATCTTCCCTCAGCTTGTAAACTTTTGAAGTTCTAATCATTCTTCAAGAACCAGCTGTCCTCCTCTGGGAAACCTTGTCCTAATCCCGTCCCTCCAGGAAGAATCAATGCCCAGAGTGTGTGCCCCTGACACTTAATATCGCTACCACCACCACCTTAGCTAGCATTTAACGGAGAAGGGCTCACTATGTGCTGGGCACCATGCCAAGCAAGCTATATGCATCATTATTGCAGTTAATCTTCATGATAACCCTATATCATCCCCATTTTACAGATGAGGAAACTGAGGCTCAGGCAGGAAAGGTATCATGCCCAAGATCACACAGCTGGTAAATTGTGGCCCTGAGACTTAAACCTTCCTAATTCCAGAAAAGAGCTTTTAACCATTCAACTCCTCTTCCCATACACACCCAAATTCTTGCATTGTCCATATATTGTTTATTTTTCTGTCTGCCCAATTAGGGGAGGGTCCCATCTTTGTCATCCTGCTTCCTATGCACCATGTCTGGCCCAGGGCCCGGCACAGAGGGGGCGCTCATTTTGTGGGAATTTTGTCGCCCACCCTTGAGTAAGTCGGAGTCAGTTCTAGCTTCCCTAATCCCATGGCTTCTATTTCCCCTCCAGGAATTGGCAGATTGGTGATTGCAAAAGAAACATCCTCAGCTGATCAATAAATAATAATGTTGGAGAATTTAAAATAAGAATCTGGATTATTAAAGTTACAAATCTTTGGTCTTTATACCTTTAATAAAACATGCGTCTATTAATAATGGATACTGGTTCTGGCCTGCTGATGTTGAAAAGGGGGAAAAAAAATGACCAGTTGAAAGATGCAAATATTTTTGCTCCTTAGCAGGCTTGGCTGCCAAATGCCTCGCTGACATATTGCTCATCATTTAAAAAGGTTTAAAAATTTAACAGCACAAAAGGGAAATTAAAGATGAGACGTTCAGCCTTATGGGCCCTCAGAAAGAGATTGTTTCCTTCTGGAGACATCTCTCGCCTCGGCTTTGGTGGACCCACCTCTGCTGGCTCCTCTCCTCGTCCTCTAGCTGCCCCTTCTCAGCTCACCTTTTTTCCCCCAACCTCTTCCCTGTGCCCTCTCCTCTCTCCTCCCCTCCCTCTTCTCTTCTTTGCCCTTCCCCTCCCCTCCCCTCCCTTCCACTTCCTTTCCCTTCCCTTATCTTTTCTTCTCTTCTCACTTAACTCCCTTGCCCTGAGTGACCTCACCCACTCCTGTGACCACTGGTCATCATCTTTGCATGGAGGGAAGTCACTCAATAGGAGAAAAAGTCAACGAACTAACAAGTGGACAGACCACATGGGGCCTTATAGGCCACATCCGTACTTTGGCTTTTACTCCAAGCATGATGGTGCCGCTGCAGGAGCAGAGGAAAGCACAACCTGACTTAGGGCTTAAAAGGAATATCTTTGGAGACCGGGAGTAAAATAGACTGGAGGGTGATAGGGGCAGAAGCAGGAAAAGCACTTAGGAGAATATTATCATGATCCAGGCAAGAGATGATGGTGGTTTGGAATAAAGTGGAAGCAGTGAGGAGGTGAGAAGTGGTTGGGTACAGGATATATTTTATATTTTAAAGGTAGAGGCCATAGGACTTGCTGATGGATTGGAGGAGGGGTATGAAACAAAAAGAGAAAGGAGTCAAGGATGTCCCCAAGGGTTTTGGCCTGAGTAACCAAAAGGGGGGGGGGTCGTTTTCTGAGATGGGGAAGGCCGTGAGTGGAATAGGTTTGGGGAGAAGGAACTTAGTCTTGGATGGGTTTAGTTTGAGGTGCCTATTGGATGTAATGATATAGACTGAATTGTGTCCCCTTAAAATCCATGTTTTTGTTTTTGTTTTTAAGTAAGCTCTACACCCAACATGGGGCTTGAACTCATGACCCCTAAGATCAAGAATCTCATGCTCTATCGATTGAGCCAGCCAGGTGCCCCTAAAATCCGTATGTTGAAGCCCTAACCCTCACGTGACTATATTGGATCTAGGGACCTTAAGGAAGTAATTAAGGTTAAATGAGGTCAAAAGGATGGGGCCTTAATCCAATAGACTGGTGTCCTTATAAGAGGAAGAGACACGCAGAGATCTCCATCCTCACGTACACAGAGGAAATACCGTGTGAGGACACAGTGAAAAGGTGACTATCTACAAACCAGGAAGAGAGGTCACATCAGAAACCAACCCTGCTGGCACCTTGATCTTGGACTTCAGCCTCTAGGACTGTAAGAAGATAAATGTCTGCTGTCTAAGCCACCAGTCTGTGGTATCTAGTTATGGCAGCCCAAGTTGACTAATACAGATGTCTAAGAAGATTTGTAAAATTGGCAGTTGGACACATAGGTTCAAAATTCAGGAGAAAGGCCAGGCTACAGATAGAAATTGGGGCATCATCAGGGAGATGGTCTTTAAAGTCCTGAGGCTAGATGAAATTGCCAATGAAGATAGTGTCACAAAGATGAGAACATGACAAAGTACCAGACCCTCTGACCTTCCTATGTTTAGAGGCTGGGGAGAGGAGGAAGAATCAACAAAAAGACTGAGAAGTTGCCAGTGGGATAAGAGGGAAACCAAGAGCTTAAATGGTCCTGGAAGCCAAATATATATAGAGAGAGGTCCTCTATGTTCAGTGCTGCTGATGGGATAAGTAAGGTGAGAAATGAGGACTGACCATTGGATTTAGCCATATGGAGGTCACTAGTGACCTCAACAAGAGCATTGGATTTAGTTTTGGGTCCCCTGGTGGTAAAATCAAAAAAGGTAACTCAATGGATTCCACAACTATCATTCTCTTCCAGAAGTGAAACTACCAATTATTCAAGACAACTTTTTCTGGGAATTTATCATGTGTGTTCTTACAAAGGGGGCATGGGGTAATATAATGAATCTTGTCAACAACTGTTGAAAGTCTTTCCTTCTGTCCCTTCTGACAATTTGACTCAGGTACAAGTGGCAGTCTTATGTATCCATTCCAGTCCAGTTGTGGAGGTCCCCAAATTAAAGGTATTTGGAGAAATTTCACTTAGCAACCCACCACAAGGGCACGAAGGAAGGAGTGGCTGCCTGCCTCAGGAGCTGAGAAAGAGGAGGTGCCACGGAGATGGGCTTTAAGAAGACAAATAGGAATTCTCAAAGAGAAAAAGAGGACAAATGATATTTTACACACAGGAAACAACACGTGCAAATTCTAGCATGTACTTTCACTAAAAAATTTTCCTCTGTTTTTCTGACTTTGTTTCTCTCTCTCTCTCTCTCTCACACACACACACTTATATTCACAAACACACCAGATAACTATTAGAATTCTTGTTTGCGGGTGCCTGGGTGGCTCAGTTGGTTAGGCGACTGCCTTCGGCTCAGGTCATGATCCTGGAGTCTTGGGATCGAGTCCCACATCGGGCTCCCTGCTCAGCGGGGAGTCTGCTTCTCCCTCTGACCCTCCCCCCCCCATGCTCTCTCTCTCTATCTCATTCTCTCTCTCAAATAAATAAATAAATCTTTAAAAATAATGTTAAAAAAAAAGAACTCTTGTTTGCAACTGATAGAAAATGCACCTCAAAATGGCTTAAAACAAAAAAAGGGAACTTTTTGGTTCATGTAATCAAAAAGTCCAACAGTAAATTTAAGACATGGCTGAACTTGGGGGCCCAAACAATGGGACTATAATTTGGTCTCTTTCCATCACATGGCTCACATGGATCAGTATTCACACTTCACACGTGCCGGGATGGCTGCCAACAATCCGAGGCCTAAATCATCCCAGTGGAATTGAACTGAGAGTCTCTCTGTTGTGCCTCATTGGCTCTGACTGGGTCATTGGCCCTGACTGGGTCATTGGCCAGCCCTGAACAAATCCCTGTGGTCAGGGGGTTGAGATGCTCTGATTGCTACAGCTGAGATGAAGACCCGCTGCCCCCTCTCCCCCCGCCCCTGCCCCAGGGCCAAGGGTGTAATCAATTCTGTCTAAAACACAGGGACCGAGATCCGGGATGGAGAGATCTCACAAAGGAAAAACTTGTTGCCAAAGAAGGTGGAATGGACCTTTGGCCACAAAAGATGTGTATGTCCACTTCCATGCACTGGGATGCTGAGGATCTCCCTGAGATACTAGAACCCTACCTATTGTGTGGACACTTAGGCCTGGATGACTGAATTGCCCTCGGAGCAGTGGAGCCTGCAGGCCTGTGCTCTGAGGTACAGGGAGGGGAAAGGCCAAGAAATGTAGCTGGTGTGGGGCTTAGCAGTCATCCAGGCTTCTTATTAGAGAAGCATATGACACCGGAGAGGGTGAGGAACTTGTCTGAGGCCATAGAAAGTTGAAGCAGAGTTGGGATTCAAACTTAGCAGACAAGAAGGCCAGAACAAGGCTCTGTCTGTGTGTCTGGCAGCTGTCACATTCATTAGCTCCCTGACATCTTTCTCCTTGTTTCCTTGTATATTTTTACAAGGTTGTTAATTACCAGCCATAAAGCTCTGCAAACATTTTGATAGGCTTTAAAAGTTCATGAAAACAACATTACATTTTAAGGCAGGGTTTCCTAATTAATCTAATTAACTGTCAGCTTCACATCCTGCTGGTTTCCAGACAAGGTGAGCAGGGCCTCTCAACGTCTGGATCAGCCCCAGTGGACAGGGCTGGGGACTTTTGAGATCACAGTCTTCCAGCCCGGGAACTAGCCAACATGTGACCTGAGGTGTGGGTTATCTGAAGCAGTGTCTAGATGCTCAGCATTGTTCTGGCTTATTTCCTTGGATGATCTATTTCTAGGACAAAGACACAGTGGTTGGAGATGCCCCAGATTAAAGCAAGCACATGGATGACTGGCCACCTCAGTTTAGGACCATCGCAGAAGGCCAAGGTACAGACAAATTTGGGGTGCCTTCCCCAATGATGCTTCCTTTTCAGAGATCGGTCCTCACTCACAGTGCTGGCCATATGGCCCTGTTTCCCCCCCAACAGCTGATGGGACTGAGATAGACACCTCACTCAAAGATGGCTCAGTCACTTCTGACAGGTGGTCTGGCTCCAAAAGATGAGCTGGGCCAACCAGAGGCTACTCTGCGGATGAAGAAGCAGAAACGGGGAAGGGTGAATTAGTTTGCTTGGGCTACCATAACAAAGTACCACAGGCTGAGTGGCTTAAACAACAGAAATGTATTTCTCTGGGTGCCTGGGTGGCTCAGTCAGTTAAGTGTCTGACTCGATTTTGGCTCAGGTCATGATCTCAGGGCTGTGAGATCGAGCCCTGTGTCAGGTGCTGTGCTGGGTGTGGAGCCTGCTTAAGATTCTCTCTCTCTCTAAAAAAGAAAGAAAGAAAGAAAAGAAAGAAAGAAAGAAAGAAAGAAAGAAAGAAGAAAGAGAGAGAGAGAGAGAGAGAGAGAGAAAGAAAGAAAGAAAGAAAAGAAAGAAAGAAAGAAAGAAAGAAAGAAAGAAAGAAAGAAAGAAAGAAAGAAAGAAAGAAAGAAAAGAAAGAAAGGAGGGAGGGAGGGAGGGAGGAACTTCTCATGATTCTGGAGGCTAGATCAAGGTGCTGGGAGGGTTGGTTTCTCCTGAGGCCTCCCCCTCCCTGGCTTGCAGGTGGAGACCTTCTCTCTGTGTCCTCACATGGTCTTTTCTCTGTGTGTGCACATCCCTGGGGTGTGTCCAAATTTCCTCTTACAAGGACACCAGTCAGATTAGAGCTCACCCATTTTAACCCTCATTTTAACTTAATCCCCTCTTCAAAGACCCTTTCTCCAAATACAGTCACTTTCTAAAGAACTGGGGGGCTAGGGCTTCAACATATGAAGCTTGGGAGGATATAATTCAGCCCATGACAAAGGGCAAGCACTAGTGATGAAAATTTACAGAGCATATGGCCGGGGCAAGGGAGCAACCATGACTGACGCAGCATCCGTAAGTGTGAGATCCCGTGCTCAACACCCTGAACACTGTTTACTGCGAACACCTGGGAGCTGCCACCTTCCGCCTGAGGGCTTTCATTTGGCTGCTTCCTGCTGAAGGTGCAGGCACAAGCAAACAGGGAAAGCCAGAGTCCCAGAGGGTTAACGCCCAGGGGGCAGTCCTCCCCCAGGACTGATTGCAGTTGAGGGGTGAATACTGAAGCTCCCTTGCCCCTTGGGTGGGTTAAGTCTGACCCATGTTCTGCACCATGTCCGGAGCTCTCTGGTAGGATCGAGATCCTGTTGCACAGTGGTAACTGGCCAATCGTGCATCCTTCCTTTGCTTTCCCTGTCTCACTTTCCACTCCCTGACCAGCACTTGCTGGTGTGCCTCTCAAGTAAACGACTTGCACTTGGATCCTTGTTTTAAGGTCTGCTGCTGGGAGAACATAAACAAACTCAGGTGGCATGTAGACATTATGTGGAAATAGGAGCAGGGAAAGTTGGCCAAAGGGAAGGGGAGAGAGAAAGATTGGACCTGAAGAGGGGTAAAATGTTCCTGTGTTACCAAGGTTCAGGTTCTGGTCCGCATGAGCACTGCCCTGCATTGATCCCTCTTGGCTTTCCAAGTAGTCATAAAGTGGGATGTTAGGTGTTCTAGAATACGAAATAATTCAGCCACTTCCCTATCCAAGTGCAGCAGATTCTTTTGGACTCTTCTAGAAACTTCCCTCTGAAATATGCAGCTATAAGGAAGTTGGTACCTCTTGCTCTGGGGAATTGTGCCACAAAGGGCATTCTGTGGCTTCATAAATATGCCCCTCAAAGTTAACCCTTGGTTTGCAGAGCTGAAGCTGGGGATGACCTGGGAGAATTTGCATATGGGCCAGGAGCTACCTGGGAGGTCAGTAACCAAGGCCCTGTGCCCTTTTCTTTTGAAATAAAACATGATCATAACCTTTCTGGTTCATTGGGCTGTGCCCAACCGAGGCCCCCGAAAGAGGACATAAACACCCACAGGGAAAATGACCATAAATGCAAAGGGAGTCTGTAACTGTTGACCAGTGTTCCAACACCAACTCTTAGGCTGCGGATTTGGAGTGGATGGAGGGAAGAAGGGCCAACTGGGGGAGAGCATGGGTCCTTTTAGTGAAGGAATCGAATCTTGTTACTTTGAACTTTCCCTGCTTTCTTTCCCTTTTACCCATGACCTTGGGCATGTTATTTTGCCATCCTCAGCAGAACTGAGTGTTAGCTGAAGGGTTAAGATCAGACCCTACCTATAAAATGAGATCTGGGAGTCTGAAGTCTTACAGGAAAATAAGAATATGATCATAAACTACATTTCTAAAATCTAAACACTCAACTCTTTAACACTTCCTATGGAAATTCCTTAGGCTTTTCAGCCCCCAAGCAGCATTTGCTGAACGTGAGTATGTGGGTCCTTGTAGGAATAAAAGGGAGGAATTGAGCCAGCTGAGGCAGGGTCTGGAGTCAGAGAGGAATGGGTGACACAGTTGACTTTTGAGCTAGAGGGGTTCTCAATATAGGGTGCTATAGTCACCAATGAGGTATGCCCCAAGTGACAGGGGAATCTGAAAAGCAGGGTGTAGCCCTTGAGTCAGGGATAGTATGATATTTATTTATTTATTTTTAAAGGTTTTATTTATTTGACAGAGAGAGAGACAGTGAGAGCAGGAACACAAGCAGGGGGAGTGGGAGAGGGAGAAGCAGGCTTCCCGCAGAGCAGGGAGCCCGATGCGGGGCTCGATCCCAGGACCCTGGGATCATGACCTGAGCCGAAGGCAGATGTTTAACTTACTGAGCCACCCAGGCACCCCATAAAATCCCCTGTTTAAAGATGAGAAAACTTCACCACCCTCAGCAGGGCTGAATGTCAGTTCCAAGAAGTAAAATGAGACCCTAAAAAATATGAATGATTGATTGATTTAACATATAATGTATTATTTGTTTCAGGGGTACAGGTCTGTGATTCATCAGTCTTACACAATTCACAGCGCTCACCATAGCACATACCCTCCCCAATGTCCATCACCTAGCCACCCCACCCCTCCCACTGCCCACCACTCCAGCAACACTCAGTTTGTTTCCTGAGATTGAGTCTCTTATGGTTTGTCTCCCTCTCTTGTTTCGTAAAAAATATGATTTAATTGTCAGAAAGTAGGAAGATGGGGAACAGATTGGGAAATGGGAGTCTTATTTGGGTCAGGATGAGCTGTTGGAGGCCAAGCCTTGAACACTTCAGGAGTATCAGAAGCCAGGTTGGGGGTGGGGTTGGCTCTGGGAAAGGGCTGGTTTTGGCGGCCTGAGGCCCAACAGGATTGTCCTTCCAGTGGTTTCTATCCTTCATCATCTAGCACTTCCTGGTCCCCACGCTGCTTGACACTCCCCTACTGTATTTAAATTGATACCCTCAAAATTGTAAAACCAGGGCTGGTTCTTCCTCCCTTTTATCCACTCAACTTCAAGAATTTATTTATTTATTTATTTTTAAAGATTTTATTTCTTATTTGAGAGAAGGTGAGAGAGAGCATGAGAGGGGTGAGGGTCAGAGGGAGAAGCAGGCTCCCGACCGAACAGGGAGCCCGATGCAGGACTCGATCCCGGGACCCCAGGATCATGACCTGAGCTGAACGCAGCCGCTTAACCAACTGAGCCACCCAGTGCCCCTCACCTTCAAGAATTTAACGAGCTTGTCTAGGGTAAAATGTTTTATTCAAGCCCATTGCTGGTGGTATCACTGAGGAAGTAAATCCTAAACTAATAGAAGTTGAATGTAATGTAAAATAGCAACTGATCTCTGTCAGAGAGAGTAAGAAAAATTAACAAACTGCTGTTCAAATATTTATTAGCAGGAGAAACTGGACAGATACCCTTATTCTTTGACTGGAGGCAATTGAAACTCAAGGAATTGTCTTAAGTGGAATAGTTGGTTCAGAAATAATTACAGGGGATGAGAGGACCCATGGTCTCCGAGGCAGGTCAGAATGGGGGACAATGTCTCCAGATGCTTCTCTCCTCTCCTCTCCCCCACTGAAATCAGATTATAGATTTCATCCTGATGTGACTGTCACCAGCTCACCTCTGTGATACATGCAGGGGGGTTCTGGCCCCTCCCCCATCCAAGAGCTCAGTCCTGAACCTCAAACTTGACCTTCCTACCATTCCCCTGCCTCTAAGTTCCTTTCATTTACTCCCTCTCTGAAGGCCTCGGCAGTTAGTGACTATTCTGGATTTTTCCCTACAAATGCTAGGCCTCTCCCATAGGCATCACCAACCACCTGTCCTCCTCCATCAGTCCCCCACCTAAGACCTACATAAAGGGGACTATAAAAGCTGGTGCCTGGAAGAAAAGACTCCAGTTTTCTTTCCAACTGTGGGAGATCGCCTCCCAGGAGACTGGGGCAGGGAGCTCTCCTGCCTTATCACTTGTGCTCAGTTGCAAACTCAACAGGAAGAGATGGACTGCAGCTGGATACTACTTCATTATCCGCTCTCTGGCTTTCCTCTTCCCTTAGCAACAGCCCAGCCAATGAGAGACAGTCACAGCTCAGCCAATGAAAAGCCACTATAATTGGGACTTCCGGTTTACTCCAATGGACTTTATGTTTACAACAGCCCTCCCCACAAATTTAGAGATGGCACTCTAAAAGAGCGTTTCTCTCCTGTGTTCTGTGGATTGGCCTATGGTTTTGTCATAGTTGGCTTTTCCCAGGTTGCAGTTTTCTGCTCTTCCAGAAACAACAACAAGCACATTTTTTTAAAAATATTTTATTTATTTATTTATGAGAGACAGAGAGAGAGACAGAGGCAGAGAGAGAAGCAGGCTCCCCGTGGAGCAGGGAGCCCGATGCGGGACTCGATCCCAGGACCCCGGGATCATGACCTGAGCCGAAGGCAGACGCTTAACCGACTGAGCCACCCAGGCGTCCCTGCACATTTTTTTTTTAACTGGTAAAATAATTGGTAGCTTTATTTTTAAGGTTAACACCACCTTCCCATCCATCCCAGAGAAGCAAGAAGCATTCTTGCCGTCAAGAGGTGGTGGTGCTGAGAAAGAAATCCAACTAACTGGCAGGAGAGTAAAGCCCAGCCAGCCCTCGGTCATTCCAGGCACCGTCTTGGACGTTGCAGACCCAGCAGAGCCCCCAGCTGAGTTCGTGAGTGACCCAGCAAGCATCCTGTGGGAGAACTGCACAGCGCATCTGCCCATCCCTTGGAATGGTAAGAAATAATAAATCGTTGTTTTAAGCCATTAGAATTTGCAGTGGCAGGGCATCTGGCTGGCTCAGTCTGTAGAGCATGCACCTCTTGATCTCAGGGTCATGAGTGCAAGGCCCGTGTTGGTCGTAGAGCTTACGTTTAAGAAAAAAAAAAAAAGATTTGCAGTGGCCTGTGAAGTAGCAGTAGATAATTGAAATACCAAACCTTGTAGGACTGGAGTCTGACTTTCCCTGCCTTATATTCTACTTTACCAACTTCAGAGCCCCTGACTGACACATGTGTTGGACTTCCTGGACTACCTGCCAGGGCTGCTCTCTTCTCCTGCCGGTCCAACTCCAAGCCCAAGTGCATCGTGTTTTTCAACAAACACTGATTCGTACTGGGCTCTCACCCCTGCAGGCTCTGCCTTTCCCAGGGCTGGGCTGTCACCCCTGCAGGCTCTGCCTTGCCCTGGGCTCTACAGCTGGGGGAGAATTTTAAGTAGGAGAAGGACATGATAGCTGGTGTTAGGGCGACATTGGGAGGAACCAGGGACCCGGCCAGAGACAGGAACTCAGTGAGGAGGCTGGTGAAGTGGTTAAAGTGAAAGAATCATGGCAGGCAAGGGGCAGAGACTGTGCCTAGGATGGAGAGCCTAGAATTCAGAGGTACCAGGCCACCAGCCCAAAGTCCACTGACTCCCATCCAGTGCTCATTCCACTACTAAGAAAATGAAGAGTAATTCTAAAGGTGAAAAATATACAGGGAGAGGGGCACCTGGCTGGCTCACTTGGTAGAGCATGCAACTCTTGATTTCAGGGCTGTGAGTTTGAGCCCCACGTTGGGGCTTGCCTTTTTTTTTTTTTTTTCTTATTTTAAATACACAGGAGTACGTGGAGGTAGGTACAAGAATGTTCCTGGCAGCTTTGTGTGTGATGTTAAGAATTTAGGGGCGCCTGGTGGCTCAGTCAGTTAAGCAAATGCCTTTGGCTCGGCCTCATGATCCCGGGGTCCTGGGATCCTGTCCCGTGTAGGGCTCCCTGCTCAGTGGAAAGCCTGCTTCTCCCTCTCCCTCTCTCTCCCCTGCTCATTCTCTCTCCCAAATAAAAAAAATAAAATCTAAAAAAAAAAAAGAATTTAGAAATAATTTAGGGGCACCTGGGTGGCTCAGTTGGTTAAGTGTCCGACTCTTGGTTTCGGCTCAGGTCATGATCTCAGGGTTGTGGGATTGAGCTCCATGAAGGGCTCCGCACTCAGAGGGGAGTCTGCTCAGGATTCCCTCTCCCTCTGCGCCTCCCCCTGTTGGCATGCCCTCTCTCTCAAATAAATATCTTTAAGAATTTAGAAATAATTTAAATGTCTATCAGTTGAAAAATAGTAAAATAAATGTGGTCCATTCTTAACAATGGAATATTAGAGAGGAACTAAAAGGAATGTTTATATACATTTAGCTATATGTAACAATGTGGGGTAAGTCTTGTAAACATGTTGCATTTAAAAAGTTCCATAATGATATAGTAAAAAAAAAAAAAAACCACTTATCCACTAAAAACACATAAAACAGTATTACATATTTTCTATTGGTTTCTATAAAATACATAAATGTATTTTTAAAAATTCTGGAACGCACTTGCCAAATTCAGTATTGAGAAAGGGGCCAGGGACCAGGATTGTGTGAGGTAGGCAAAGAAGACTTGTGCTTTATTTATAATGTTCTATTAAAAAAAAAAAAAAAAGGCAGAGAAAGACAAATATCCTATGATTTCACTCATATATGGAAATTAAGAAACAAAACAAATGAACAAAGAAAAAGAGACAAACCAAAAAACAAACTCTTAACTATACAGAACAAACTGATGATCACCAGAGTGGAGGTGGGGGTATGGGTGAAACAGGTGATGGGGATTAAGAGCACACTTACCTTGATGAGCACTGAGTAATGGATAGAACTGTTGAAATCACTGTATTATACACGTGAAACTAATATTAAACAGTATGTTAACTTCTGGAATTAAAAAAAGCAATGGCTCGGGCACCTGGGTGGCTCAGTTGGTTAAGCGACTGCCTTTGGCTCAGGTCATGATCCTGGAGTCCTGGGATCAAGTCCCACATCGGGCTCCCTGCTCAGCAGGGAGTCTGCTTCTCCCTCTGACCCTCCTCCCTCTCATGCTCTCTGTCTCTCATTCTCTCTGTCTCAAATAAATAAATAAAATCTTAAAAAAAAAAAAGCAATGGCTCAATTAGAACTGATACAATTACTATTTATTTATTTATTTATTTATTTATTTATTTATTTATTTATTTATTTTTAGTAATCTCTACATCCTACATGGGGCTCGAATTCACAACCCCGAGATCAAGAGTCGCGTGCTCTACTGACCGAGCCAGGCGGGTGCCCCAGAACTGATATAATTAAATATTAATTAAAAAATAGAAAATAATCAGTGGAGGGGAGCCTGGCTGGCTCAGTTAGTAGAATGTGCTACTGCTGATCTCGGGACTCTAAGTTTGAGCCCCATGTTGGGTGTAGAGATTACTTAAAAATAAAGTCTTAAAAAAAAAAAAGAATGGATTAAGGATTTGATTGTCGGCATTGTTACTCCCTCCAAATAATAAGCTCAAACCTCTGCTCTCCTTTTTTTTTTTTTTAAAGATTTTTATTTATTTATTTGACAGAGAGAGCGCATAAGCAGGGGGAGTGGCAGACAGACGGAGAGGGAGAAGCAGGCTCCCTGCTGAGCAGGGACCCTGATGTGGGACTTGATCCCAGGACCCTGGGGTCATGACCCGAGCCGAAGGCAGACGCTTAATGACTGAGCCACCCAGGTGCCCCAGACCTCTGCTCTCCTAGAGCTGAGAGTGGGAGCTGAGGTTTTGCTATTGGGTGCCCCTTTATTCTGTGTCAAGCTCTGGGTGGTGGGAGTGTCACTGAAAAAAGGAGGGACAGGATATACTGAGCTTCCATTGCTGGCATGCTCTGTGGGCACCTGGCCAGTCTGTGTCATGACACCGTCAGCCCCTCCAGAGGTGGGTATGATTGTTGCTGTGTACAGACGAGGCACGAGGGGCTCAGAGGATCAGATAGGATCACACAGCATATAAGTGGAAGGATTTGAACCTAGGTCTGTCTTAAAGCTGTACTTTCTCTGTACCAAGGAGCAAGAGGATAGGCAGGTATGAAATCACTTGAGAGCTTTCAAAGTGAGCAGGTGCCAGGACCTCACCTTCAGAGATTCTCATGGGATTGGTCTGGGGTGAGGCCTGGGCTTTTTTTAATTTTAATTTTTTTAAAGAGGTGTTTTGGGGACGCCTGGGTGGCTCAGTCCGTTAAGCGTCTGCCTTCAGCACAGGTCATGATCCCAGCTGGGATTGGGCTCCCTGCTTACTGGGGAGTCTGCTTCTTCCTCTGCCCCGTCCCCTCCTCTGCCCTCTCTCTCAAATAAATAAACAAAATTAAAAAAAAAATTAAGAGGTGATTTTATGCTCTGCCAGGCTTGAAGACACTGCCTTAATCAGAGGCAGGTTCCTAGCCCCCTGGATCAGCCATCATGGGGTGGCCCTTCCCCTGTGCCCCGTACTACTGATGTTCTGTCCTTTTCGACAATGACCTTGTGAGCAGTAAATGTTTATCAAACTCTGGGATGCGTTTTTGAGAAGCGGCTTGCAAAGCCATTGTCAAGTTTGGGTTCCCAGTTTCTCATTGTCTTTTACTGGGGATGGGAGACTGTTCTTCAAGAAAAAAGATTAGCCCAGGAAATAACCACCAGTGATAATTTAATGAATTTTAAAGTCAGTGTTTCCCCACTTCAGGCATTTGGGAATCACCTTCATATTTGCTATATGTAGAGGCTGCTTTTAGGCAACAAGCTTGAGAAATGGAAACTTGAGCAACGCAAGAGGGCCCATGGTGACCACTGAGCTGAATGTAAACAGGCTCATTAAATGACCTGCCTCAAAATGACCATAGGCCCTAACTGACCAATTACAACCAGGCACCAAGATTACCAAAAAAAGGAAAATTCCATAGTCCCCATTCTCCCTCACTCTGCCCTATAACTGTGGCTTCTCACCCCTGCCCCATCACAGTCTCTCCTTTGCTCTCCTGTCCACTGCTTCCTTGCTGTGTATTCAGTAAACTTCTATTTCCTTTGTTCTGCCCAGGTGAATCCTCTCTCTCTCTCTGTCTCTGTCTCTGTCTCTCTCTTACACACACACACACTCCTTTTCTCTCTCTCACACTCACACACACACACACATCTTTTCTCTCTCTCTCACACACACACACACCCCAGCCCCGAACCACCGGCCCCCATCCACTTGGGACCCCTATGCTATATGTGCTTGTGGCCACTGCTAATTTACTTAATATTGTACTTTAAATCAATTCCCACTTTGTAAACTTAAAAACTTTTATTTTAAAAGATAACTGTAGGGGTGCCTGGGTGGCACAGTCTGTTAACCTTCTGATTCTTGGTTTCAGCTCAGGTTGTGATCTCAGGGTTGAGAGATGGAGCCCCCATGATGGGCTCATACTCAGCTCAGAGTCCGCTTAAGACTCTCCCTCTCCCTCTGTCCCTCCTTCTCTCTCTCTCTCTCAAATAAATAAATCTTAAAAAAAAAGAAGGGAAAACTGTAGGGGCACCTGGGTGGCTCACTTGGTTAAGTGTTGGACTCTTGGTTTTGGCTCCAGTCATGATCTTAGGGTTGTGAGGTAGAGCCCTCCATTGGGTTGCTTGAGATTCTCTGCCCCTCCTTCTCCCTCTGCCCCTCCTGCTCTCGCATGCACTCTCCCTCACTCTCTCTCTAAAATAAATAAATAAGGGACGCCTGGGTGGCTCAGTGGTTAGGCGTCTGCTTTCAGCTCGGGTCATGATCTCAGGGTCCTGGGATCAAGCCTTGAGTCCGGCTCCTTGCTCAGCAGGGAGCCTGCTAATCCCTCTCCCTCTGCCTGCCACTCCCCCTGCTTGTGCTCTCTCTGTCAAATAAATCAATCTTTAAATCTTTTTAAAAAGATAACTGTA